TTCTCCCTTTTATTTCTCCTCCAATGATATTGTAACAACTTATTAAAGGAGTTATCCGATCACATGCAGAAGAATGACAGCTGTCAGAAATTCCAGTTCTCCAGCAGCTGCAAGGGTTGAGAATTAAGAGAAATGACCCACTGTTGGATACTGTAAACGATATAAAAAGTATATAGCCTGTAACTATTATAAAACCATGGTAAGGATATTCACTCTTGTTGTCTCTCTACCAGAGGTTTTATAAGCTAGCGAGGAATGTGAAAAAAAGGTCTGAAATTGGTAGTAAAAATGGGCATCTACATGAGACAGTGTCTGGACAGTGCAGTCTGCATTGATAAATAACATGGCTTTTAAATGCTTTTCAAGATTACACTTAGCAATAATAATTTATCTGAACTGATAGTCTCTTTTTGAACAGTTTTAATTTAGTTTACCTTAGAAGAAGTGTGGTCAAATCTCTGAGCACATGATTTCTTTGTTCCTGAGCAGAATCTTGAAATGCTAATAAAGCTGTGGTATCATTTGCTTAATGCAGAGTATTTGATCTATGCTTTCTTTATTCCATTATGACTGAGGCAGATGCAGAGAGCTTTCCTGTGCTGAACGTATGTACCAGTTATGGGGAGGTTATTTGTCGTTGCAATTGCAAACGAATGAGCCAATGTCCTATCAGGTGTCTGTCACCATTTTCAGGTTTTCTTTATGGAATCCTGCTGGCTGACTGATGATCCTTCTTCAGCTGTGATGAGCTAATCTTTCCTTGACATTGTAATCGCAATTCCTGAAAGGTCTGCAGAGCAGTTGCTTGCCTTTGGTTGCTGTTGTGCCTGACACTGACATATATATCCAGATCAGTAGGATCATTCTCCTATCTTAGTTTCATTACAATTCTGGATGGAATTAAGGATGATGATTCGTAGGATATCGCTACAGGCTTTACTTTGTCATTTGCAACATAACCAATTTCAGTAAAGGATGTGGTTATTTGCAACATCTAGGTAGTAATAAACCAGTGATACATGAATCTCTTGCATGTCTGTTCTTGTGGTGTATTTGGGGGTTGCTGCACAGATACTGACATCAGGCTTACAGCTTGTAGACTGTCAGATTGTCATCTTGTTCTGCACCTTTAAATTCAACCCATCTTTTTTCATTTTGTGGCTGGTTTACAGAGCAGCTCTAATGGCTTGTGTGTTTATTAGAGAGGCTTCGAAAGAGCACCTACATGGTTTAAAGGCATGCATACAGAAGCACAAAATTCATTACCCTGAACCACAGGCTGACCATGATAATGCAGAAGAAATTGTGTATATCTTCTATGGCATAAGTTTTAGCATTGTCTAAACAAAAGTCTTCAGGTTTAAGTAGTTGGGGAGTTTTGTTGGTGTTTTGGGGGGGGGGGGGGGGGTGTCTGTTGGTTTTTTTTTACTTTTAGGATCAAGTTTTGTGAAATCTTTGCTTGTTCAAGAGACTCTCACTGTTGACCTAACTCTAACCCTGCCTCTATTGTCTTAATGTTTTCTCCAGCAGTCGCAGCTTGGCTTTAAAATTCCATTACCCAGATGCACGCTTTGGTATCCCATCTCTTACAGAAGTGGGAATAGACAGGCTTCCATGAGTTACATGGACACCTGTGTGTCTTTCCAGAAGTATCATTTCTGTTTGGCTCTTTCCCTTCCTTCAAGTCCCTCTCTAATCTGTGCTGTCTTATGTCCTGCATATCTTTGGTCCTTTATAGTCACTGTGAAAGTTACTGCCATGGCCTGGCCTATCTGTGAGTTTGGCAAGTCGGGTAATTCAGATATGATGCTTCTGACACAGATTGTCTGAACAAGGTCCTGTGCCCTCTTCCGAAAGAAAGATCTTGTTTCTGAGGAAAAGTGGTTTCCTTGAAAGATGGGGGATCTTGGTGATTTTTTTTTTTTTTTCCACCATAGCTGATCAAAATCAGACCTACCTTTCACTTTGCATTATGGCTTCTTAAAATAAAACAGCAGTTTTCATGCAATTTCAGAACAGTTTGACGTTAAGTCCCAGACTCGTTTTGTTTTTCACTTGCTGCCTTAAGCAGTTTTAAATACTAATTTAGAATGTAACAGAATTCTAATTAAAAATAGGGCTGGCAACAGATCAGGTGTGGCTGAAACTTTTCAGCGTTTTCAGGGGTTGTGAGATAGCAGCACTGTCCTGATGAGCTTCATTTATGCCATATGAATATAAAATATTCATATAAAGGGAAATTTACAAAGGCATAAAAAAGGTACCTATGTTTTCCGTGCACTGGGAATCTTAAATCTTAGTTTTATATTTTGAGGTTACTTCTCTGTGTTAAGATTGCAGATTAAACGTCTTTGAAATGTGCAGATGTTTGTACTTAAGAAATAATTTTGTCATCCAATCTTGAAATATATGTGAATTATCTGATATTACAGATCAAATCAGATTCCTCAGAGTCATATTGTGCACATATTCAGAGCATTTGCTATGCCGTATCTTAGTCTCTATTATACATTTATAGTTGGAGAGGGGAATAGTGGGTATTTAAAGTATTGATGAATCAAGGCCTAAAATCTAATTGTTGGAAACCACAAGTTTAGGATTTGATGGGTTTATCAGGACAAGTTATTATGATTGTTATACATGTGAGCAAGACCATTCATTTCACAAAATATCTGCAGTTCTTAGCATGTCCCCTTGTGCATAATGTCATCTGTCAGTAAAAGCAGAGCTGATCAGCTTTATAGTTTACAGTTAACTAAGTCTGTCAAGAAAATGGTCTTATTGTCCAGCTTATCTTTTTGTAATGAAGCTGTGGATGGGGGTGAGCAACACTGTGTTCACCCTCTTGGAGGTCAGGGAGGATGGAAGGTGCTAATGCATTCCAAGCTGAAAAGCTCACGCTTGACCTTGGTGATTAAAGTTTTTCCTATCATCTAGCAGCAGTTGAGCCTGAATTGTCTTTTAAGAAGTCAAAAGGTCTAATCACCCTAATGAACAAACTCAATCATTAGTACTTTGGGGAAGGAAGTGTGTTAACATTGCAATAACACTGGTTCCCCCCGCTGTAGTGTGTGTGTTTGTAGGAATGGTACATAGCTTGGTGGTAAGAGGAGAAGCTGGTGTCATTGTGCTGGATGTTCAGTGGAGTAGAGGAAGCTTCTGCTGGGCAGGGTGTAATTCTTTCCACCAGGTTCATGCTCTTTGGCCATGGGAGAAATTTTGGGGGTTTGTAAGTGAGGATTAAATGAAAGCTAAACCTGCCCTTGGTGAACTTCTCTGATCATGGACTTACCTACACTTGTCTTCATGTATTCCTCCTTACTTGTTTCACACTCTAGATTGTGTCTATGTCAGACAAATATTTTTCATCTGTTATGTTGTAGTAGCTGAAACTACTGAGAAAGCCTTTTTCATAATGGTCAAGTAGATGTTACATGCTGCTGTTTGTGGTACTGTTGCCCAGGCCCTGCTTTGGAAGTGTCTGTCACTAGTTTCTGTAGTCACAGGTACATTTGCAATCTCCTAAGATTTTCCCTCCCTAATGTTAGTGCTATGTAGTGTCCTGACTTATCCTTCCTGGTACCTGAAAGAGACTTTCATTTGCCAAGTTATCTCTTGCTTATTGAAGTTTTGACACTTCCATGTCATGCAGAAGTTCTGTCCCTTTCTGATACTTACTAACATGAGTGAGTGAGCTGTTAGTCTTTTAAACGCATTAAAACCTTTCAGGCATGCCTTGACTTTTGGGACAGAACCTTTGTCCTGGCAGTGGTCACTGTGTCATGGAGACTGTCACCAGTGTCTTGCTTACCAAGCTTATGCCAGCCAGACCCATTTCACTGAACCTTTTTCCTCTGTTCACTTTGAAACATTGACTTGTGATTCATTCTCCCACAATGAAACCAAAGCCGCAGGGGAAGAAAAAAAACCAAAAAGCTTTTACTCACTTAAGCTTTTTGCCTGGAAAGATCTTGAAAGGTTGTTGGGATTTTGTTTTACTCTGTAAATACCTGCTCGAGTAAATCAGAGAGCGTGTTATTATCCTTAAAACTAATTATCCTGAAACTGTAGTTGCTGCATAAGAAACCTGCTTTGTTTTCCAAATCCATGGTATTTCATTGGGCCAAGGAAAAGGTGACAGGAAGAGTGACTTCTTCCCCCTTTGAAAATGCTCCATCCTGTGCTTAGATCGCTAACATGAAAAGCTTCCCAAAACCGGAATGAAACCACCATTTTAAAGGGGGTGCTTGAAGGTTTTTTGCTGTCTAATGTTGATTTTGAACACTCAACAGATGAAGAGCCCAAATGTATTTTAATACGAGTATGAAAAAGCCTCTATATTAATTATGCATCAGTATGATTTTATCATTCTTTGTTACTTTCTTGATTTTAATTCAGTAAATATATATGCTTGCTACATAGAGTATTTGTAGATTTAAGTGTGGGGGAAATTTGTGCCCTTATGGCAGATGCACAGCAGACTTCAGCATTAACATAACTCATTAAAATAAGATAAAAGTAGAGCTGCAAAACAATTTCTGTCTTTTGCCAACAAGATTGTGAAAAAGGGATATTTCCCTCATTCAAGAAAGTCTAATCTGAGCTGGGGAGAGAACAGAGCAGACATTCCTGACTTGTTTCTGCAGGTTACCTGGTTGGGTCTACTGAGGCAGAGAAGCACAGTATAAAAAATTAAGAGGACTGTGTGTCATATTTTGGGGACATTAAGTAAAATTATCTTTTTGAATGATGAAAGTTCCTTCACCAGTATCGCAAAATGTGCATAAAGCGAAATGTGTTTTATCTTGATACGCAATTTGCTGGTTTTCAACCTGTTTCTCCGTCACATGGTTGAAACCTGGAAAATAGACTACAATTTACTGGATGATTTGTAAAGTCTATTAATCTACTTATTTTGGAAGGGTAGTAGATAAAAAGGGGACTGGATTCAAATGGATTCAGAGAAATCTTTTTCTGTTTCAATGCTCTGAACTCTACAGGGTGAACCCATCACTTTTTGTGAAGAAACGTTTGTGTCCCATCGTTCTGCTGTCATGAGGCAGTTCCTTCAGAATGCCATTCAGCTCCAGCTCTTTAAGCAGGTACCAGCTTAATTGCTCTAATGTAGAAGCAGATTCTTTCACAATACAACTGTTTTTTTGTGGGGTTGTTCCTGTAGTCCTTGATCTGTCAGCCGCATAATGAGGAAAACTCATATAGTTGTAGCACCTTAATTCCTGCTTGCTGCCTTTTCTCAGATTCAGGTGATGAGCCTTTCTATATTTTAAGAGGTGTGTAGGTTTTCCCCTAAAGGTCTCTATTCTCAGTTTTGATCTGAGCATACCTAGACCAAATATATCTGCTGTAAACTTTGTACAGAAAGTGCATTCCTGTTAAACATGACATTACTGCTTCAGGGAAGCTGAAAACATACATGCGTAGGCAACGACATGAGTGCTGTTTTTTAAGTGAAGCAGCATTTTGCAGTGGTAAACATTTTGCCAGTTCAGGTTGTATTTTCATTCGATGTAGACTCTCTTCCCAGTAAGAACATTGATTTTATTCTAGCAAATGCAGAATAAAGTCTTTCTGGAAAGGTAAAGGATGGGGTGGTTGATTTATGTATACTCTCTTTTAACACTGGTGTAGTTCATTGATGGCCGTCTGGATCTTCTTAACTCTGGTGAGGGCTTCAGTGATGTTTTTGAAGAAGAGATAAATATGGGGGAATATGCAGGTAAGAAATTCAGTATTTGAAAGTAATTTCAGACTTGTTCTTGACTTATTGTTTGTGGGCCATTGTGATGTAATGGGTCATAGTGGTCACCTAAATAATAGAGGCTGCAATAATCCCTATAGTTTAAAGTGTCCTAAATTTTTGTTCTTTCCTCTGATGAGAACTTTGAGTAATGTATTGTAGTTTGAATGAAGTCTGGTCAGTCTTAGAAAACCTCAGCTTTCCCACTTGGCTAAATACAACTAGAAGAGTTCTTGCAGTGGAGGATACTGAAAAACTTTGGCTTTACCCAGAAGTACCTCACATTTCTTTTAGCAGTCTTAAAAACAAAACAGTCAGTGTTCTCAAATGTCTGAAGGACAACCCAGCTAAACCAGAAATGCCTCTTAGCAAGTAAAAGAAAAGTTGTAGGTATCTCCTCAATTACTTGTTGTGTTTCCCTGAAAAGAAAAGGATGGTTGGTTGTCTGTTTCTGTACTGTTTATGCTCCTAGAACCACTAAGTGCTAACATGTCTGGCTTGTTTCTATTTGGTAGAGAGTTATAGTTTGTTTAATTTTGTGATTCTTTCTAGGTAGTGACAAATTATATCACCAGTGGCTCTCTACAGTAAGGGTAAGAACCCAGTCTTCTTCCAACAGGCATTCTAATTCTTACTGGACCACTGTACAGTTCTGGGTGGCTGTTAACCTCAGGCCTCATGCACAGGACTGTGTTGTATCCTTCAGTGTTCAGCTTTTACCAGTTTGAGTTTAGCTGTGAAAAGCCAATGCCCTCTTCAGATGCAGAGCAGAAGAAAAAATACACTTAAAAAAAAATCATAATAGAAAAAAGATTTAAATCTTAAGAATTCCTAATGTCTTAGAGACATCCGGAAATAGGTTCTTGTCATTTTAGAAAATAATGTGTATATCCCTTTTCCTGTAACAGAACAGGAAAAAAAGGGAACATTGCCACACCACAAAGCTCATTGTAAAATGGTGCGAAGTGCTGAACAGGGTCAGCCCTGTTTGGGAGGGGGGTTGTATCTCTTTAGTTTAGTGCTCCAGTTTTATAAAATAAAAATCTAGATACTTATGGAGAATAATATCTCGTTAGAGCTGATTTTGAAAGTCTCTTTTGATGCATAAAATGCAATATATTGGAAAGCAAAATATTTCTTGCTTTGGGTAAGAGTCAATAAGGAAGATTGAATTTTTTTCTGACAGAATTGAGTTTTGCAGCATTCCATTTGCCTACTGCTCTGCTTACAAATGGAGTTGTGCTCCTTACACAGAATGCTAAGCTCAATGTTATCTTGGTAATTTCTAATGAAACGTATTTTGTAATAGTAACTTTAAAAAGCCTATCTCATAGTCAGATAGTTAAATTTACACATAGGTGTATATAAATATAGATGACAAGTAACTTAAAAATTAAGAAAGGGAATGGCTGAGAGTGAATATAAAACTGTGTAATTAAATTCAACAGTTTATCTTTTTTGTGAAGATTGTCATGTAGGAACAGAAGTAGCAAATCTTAAAACTGCATCTGATTGTATCTGATCTCTGCAAATGCAGTTTTGCATTGAAATAAGAAAATAAAAAGTTCTTTAAGGTTTTAATCCTTTGATTTTGCCCATCTCCTGTATTTGCCAGGTAAGGGACTGTACAGCAATGCTCAGCAGTGTGTGAAAGATGTTTAAAACACCAACCAGGCTAACATATTATTCTGCCTGACATGTTGCTGTCTTGTGACTTCTATTATGTTCACCACATGCAATTCAGCTTTTTTGGAATTAATGTTTATGACTGTAGTTAGATTTCATTTTCCCTCAATTTATCCCTTTATCAACTACTTAGATGCTTTTGATAAATAGTATTGTGGGATCCTGAAAAGGAAAATAAAAAGAAAGGTCTTGCTTCTTCAGATTGAAGATACAGGCTTCCCTGAAGTGGAAAATTCACATGGAGTATTTGTTAGGATACTTCTGTCTTAAACTTGTTTGGATTTTAATGTAATGTACAGGACACCCTTGAGGCTGAGGGAAGCAGTCACAGGACATGGTTTTGTGAGATGACCTGTCAGATAAGGGCTCTTGGTATTAGGAGACACTGATGTTTTTCCAGTGAAAACTGCTGTATTGGGGTTCCTCTGGAAAACCAGAGAAATATTTAATATGATTTACTTATGTTCTGTTTCTTTGAATTTACCATTTTAACTTAGCTCTGCTAACAAGCATAGTTAATGCTTTGTTATTTTAAGAATGGTGGCGTTTAGATTGCTGTTTGCTTTTAAAGAGCTTTGATAAAATTTGTTCTATTGTTACTATAATTATAGAAAGGAAGTGGAGCCATTTTAAATACAGTGAAGACCAAAGCCAACCCTGCCATGAAGACTGTCTATAAGTTTGTAAGTATCAAGTACTGGCTTACTACTGAGATTAAGAGTCTAATTATGATTCTCTTTTAACCTTTCAAATGCAACTCAAGACTTACATTCATTCTTATTAGACTCACAAAATGACTTAAAATACACATTCATTTAAATCTCAATTTTCGATGGAAAAGTCATTTTGAAATTCAAACATAATTGAAATGCAAAGGAGAAGGGGAACTTGTGATTTCCTTTGAAAGTATAGATGATAAATTCTATTACATAGAACTATTTCTGAGAAATAATGCCTATATGCTTTACTGAGCCACTCTACCATCTCATCATTACTCTGTTGGAAATCATTGTTACCTCAGGTTTCTCTGCTTGCAGTTTCATCGAAATAAGGGAATCCTCTCATTTTCCAAATTGTTTCCATCTTTTCTAAATGTCAACTAATTTTCCCTAGAGATTTCTTATACGTGCTTATTTAGACCCCAACTTAGTGAGTTATTCTTTAAATGAAAATGTTTCCAGTTTTGTTAACAAACAGCTAGTACAGTACTGGGTTATCACGCATGGCTGCCAGTTCCACTGTGCAAGATAAACCAACAGAAACAAGTGAGGATCAGTGTAAGGTCAGTTTTAGGAAATAATGCCACAAAAAGCATTAAGGGAACTGTTTGAACTTTGTTTTTCTGCTGCCTTTCTCCAGCCTGAGAGAGATGAGTAGGATGAGATTAGCTCTACTATATGGAACTGGCATCTAGTGTCCTGCAAGGAGCAAGTTTGCAGCCTTACCATTCTTGTTGATTGTTAACTTACAGCAAAGATAACTACTGAGGGAGGAAGACCAAAGCTGTGGAATGCAAAAAGCTAAAAGATGTGTGTGGCACCAAAACAGAGAAAACTGAATTTTTGCAATGAGGGAGGAGAAGAGAGAAATAGCGGGTTTGTTTGCTTGGGATTTTTTTAGCTTTCTATTTGTTTTAATGTGTTTTCAGTATCCTGTTACAATTTCTTCCTTGCCATTTTTAGTAACTAGAGAAGGTGAATCCTGATGCACTGAAATCACTGCTTAGTCACTGCTAGAAATAGAAGGGGATTTTAACTTAAATTAATTTTTCATGCAGGCAAAAGATCATGCAAAAATGGGAATAAAAGAAGTGAAAAACCGCTTGAAGCAAAAGGTACTTGAAGTTCTTACTCAAAATGTATAAGCACCATGTATGAAATACTTAGCCACAAAAAGCATTATGTGATCAATGGGAAGCTGTTTGATACGGTGTTGTTAGCACACTTCAAAATGCATTACCAGCTGTCCTGGATTTTTCACACTGTTATAAATATTCACAGACACACACAAAAAAATTGTCTTCAGACACATTAAGGCTCTGACTCAAACCCACGAAAGCCAGAAAATTGGGTGTTCTGTTTGGAATGGTCCCTCTCGTGTCCTTCGTGCTGGGGCATTGTGGAAGCAGACTCTGTGTGAACTGGGAGAGCTTTCTTATGGCAGTGGCAGTGAACTTTTTGCAAATGGCAAATTGTTGTTATTACTACAGTAATTGGTTAGGAAAAAAAGTGTATGTCCTTGGGAAAAGGGTTGATATGTTTCTTGAAGGTCTATTGCAAAGTTTAGGCATAAAGGAATTAGAGCTGGTGTTCATTTCACATTTGAATTATTACAGAAAAAATACTCAGGCTGTTTGTTGTTTTCCCAATCTGTCTTTGTTTGTAAACAGCACGATTCCAAGAATGCTGAATTGTGTTTGAACAATGTGTTATGCAATACTAATTGCTTGTTTTAAGCCAAAAGTATGGTCATATCGATACATACCTTATGAATGGATGGTTAACTCTACCTTGGGTTTATTTCAGGTATTCTATTTATTCTTTGAAGCAGAGCTATTAGTCTTTTTGGAAAAACAGGGTAGCTAACTTTCTCCTAGAACTGGAGTTCTTACTCAGAAATCTTTCTTCAATTTGTCCAAATAGTTTTGGGTTGTTTGGTGGTTTTTAATCTGTGACATCTCAGTAAATTTCTTCTCTAAATTCCTAGACCACTGTCTTAAGACATCACTGCAAATGTATTCCTGTGACACAAACAGAAATCTACCTGCATATGTCAATAAAGTGTTAATACACAGGGATTGTTGTGCAGGCAGGTTACCGGCTTATCAAACTGCGTGTACAATCCAAAGGCTGCTCGCTCTCAGATACTGCAGCAGATTGCTAAATGTTTTTCAGGAGGATAAAGTTGCTTCAGATGCTTTTAATGCTATTTTATGTTATTACAGCTTTTGTATGACCACTTAGGTATAGTATGAAAATACTAGAAACATGAAGCAGTTTTCATGTACATGGAATTTTTTCTGTAATTCCATACATACCACTTCTGGATATAACCTTCATGAATAATAAAATGTTTGGCCTTCTCATGTGCATTTCTGAAGCAGTTGGAGCTGCATAAAATGACCAGATTGTTTTCCTGTGTTTTAAATGCTAATATAATTGTGTGCTATTCCCTGACATTTGTATGAAAGGCTGAGAAATGCCTCATTCATTCTTTGCATTCTTTTCTTATGATGGTTGTCTTCCTAGTCCTTCAAGCAGCAAGCAGTCTTTAAAAAACACACCTAACATTTACAAAGAAATGGCCCAATTTTGTTTCACCTTCCTTCTTATGCGGCCTTTCTGTAAGTAAGGTGGTTAAACATGATTGTACAGCCTGTGCTTTCACAACAGCTTAAAGATTTCTCAGAGCAGTTGACACATTGCTCTACCTCTCCTTTCTTCATTAAGTCTGTTCTTTTTTACCCATCGTCTTCTCCATTTTGAACACAAGGCAGGAAGAAAACTCTAAAATGAGGTATTGCTCTGTTTGAAGTGATAAAAATAGCAAAAATTGCTTTGGCCACCCTCATTTTTAATCTAAATGTCTGTGCTGCTCTGTTGACAGTTCTTTTAGTGCATCCTCACCAATTTTCATGTTGAGAACATTGTATTTTTCATGCATTTACTTACTATTGTGTGCAAGTGTTAACAGTTTAAAATTCTGGCATCATTAAATCCTTAATTTTTGCTAAATTTGGGATGCTACTCTTTCATCTTCTAAGGATAACCTAAGGTTATTTTTAAACTGAACTTACTATCCAATGCATTTTAACATACTATTTTCCATTATTAATACAAAAAGTATGCAGGCCACTAGTAAAGAAAAGTCAAATATAAACATCCCTTTTCCAGTTTTCCTGCCAAATATGAGCAGCTTCTGTACAAGATAGAATTTAAAAATGCAATAAAGCTAGAGGTCTGCTTCCTACAACTCTGCATAGCAATGGTGACCTCTTAAATATAATCAAGAGCCCATTTTGCCCTTGGTCTGCTCCAGTGTTGGGTTTGAATTGCAAATGAGAAATGCAGGATTGACCTGTTGAGAGGTCACTGTGGTGTGTGTAAGGTCCTTCTTTAATATGATAGTAGAGATTGAATGGGGCTCTATTTCCATCCCTTGTTCATTTGTGGTACAGTATTTCAAAGCAACAGAAATAGTTTTCAGAGGATTCTTATGAGTGATAGCAAATAATTGTTAATAGATACAGCATGGCAGCTTTATTTTGTATCTGATACAGTACCTTTTCTTTTTCTTTCTTCTTTTTTTTATTTTTGCTGCTTCTTCCCCTTTTTTTTTTTTTTTTTTTAAAGGCTGCTCTTTCCATTTCACAAATAGACCATGGTGGTCAAGTTGCTCACTCTGTTATTGGCTCTTTTGAAGCTTAACTACATAGAATTAGGGAGAAGGAGGAATATGAATGGTACCGTCCTCAACTTTCAGTAAGGAGAATGTAACTTACCGAAAGCTTCTGGAAAAGACAATTTATATAAATGATTGGGCATTTGGCATTAATATATTCAACAATATTTTACTTAGAGCCCTGTGTGGCTTCAGTTAATGTCTGTTATCAATGAGCTACTGTCAGTACTCATTATCAGTACAACTAGAAACAACTCATTTCAAGGTTTGTAAAATAACCTGGAGAATCCTCCTAGACACTCTGGAATGTGCTATTTGCTCTTCTAATAGACAATATTTGTAGTGCATTACAAAAGGTACCTAGAAAGATTACTAATCCTTATTTAAACAGAATAAAACCTTGCTCAGTTTACGGGGTAAACTTTACATATCATTCAATCTCTGAAGTTCTTCCTTCAAAAGGTAGTGAAGATTTCACCTGAACAAACAGTTGTTAGGGGAAGCACTGTTTATACATTGAGGTAATTATGTATTGTGGTTCCCAGCTGTGTGTTGCCTTGGTTGGAGCCACAGTCTCAAGTGGAACTCTGAAAGCTCTGATGTTCTGGGAACCTCCACTATTCAGTGCAGGTCAGGTGGCTTTGAATGTGCTGGACACCCTTAGAGCATATGCATAGAACATCTGAAGCTTGGTGCCCGTTTAATATGTCTATGCTTGTATAGAGATGAGTACATCAAGTTGTTATTTAATGTAGAACAGTGTAGGTTGCTGCCATAGGTTCTGTGATTCCAAAACTGACCAGATCCCTTGGTAGCATGTTGTTGTTTTGGAGCTAAAGTATGAGTTTGACAGAAGCTTACCTTTCTTGTCATTGAGTTGGTTTGGGGCTCTTTGTTGCTAATCCAGTGCCCTTTGTTGTATTTTTTAAAGACAAGGTAGCCTTGTTCAGCTGGAGGATGGGGGGAGGAAAAAGTTTTTCTCTCTAGTTTGACCAAGTTGTTAATTTCCCCACGATCCTCATGCCCATGTTGGTGAACCACTGCTCTGCCAGCTGGATCTAAAAAGGTCTCCCGGCTTCTCTGTGGAGCAGACAAAGCCCCTTAGAAAGTCCATCTAGCTTTTTGTTTCATTTGACCTAAACACATTAGGTCAGTCTGTGTCCAAAAGAACCATTTCTAATTGGCCATCAGCTTACATGTCTCATTATTGTACCTTCGCAAGGCGGAAGCTCGAGGGGGCATGTCAAAGGTCAGTGAATCAAAGCCATGGCAATGTCAGCAGCCAACCTTAGGTCAGTCTTGCAGAGCTACAGTGTGTGCAGGTTTCTCTCTATATTTACCCAGCATTATTTCCTTGACATTGTTGCAAAGAGATGTAAGGTTTGGGGCCCACTGCGTTACAGACTATTTCTCAACTGACTTTCAAACTCTTTTTCTTCTGATTCCTTATGTCTGCATGCCTTTGTCTTTTTCAAAACCCATGTTACATATACCATACCTCCACTTGCTAAGTCTTCCAGCCTGGGTTGGTGGGTCACTTCTGAAGATAAGGACTAATGTCAAAAGCAAAACAAAAAAGCATTCTGCTAGGCAGCAGTTTGTTTTATACAATCTCATGAAGGCATATTCAGTATACACAGACTCAAAGATAAAATGCAAAGCTAAGTTGTGAGTTTCACCTCCTTACCACTTCTAAAAGTAATTGTTCTGCTGCATATAGTTCATGAAGTACGTAAAGAGAATGACTGTTTTCATTTAGGTTTACAAAAAGAATAGCCCTGTCCCTGAATTCCAGTTGAATTTGTTCCTAGAACAGAAATTTTAAGCTGTGGGGTTTTTTTTTCTCCTTATGTATTTTCTGGCTTTCGCATGTTTAAGTCAGACATTTTATTGAATGTATCTGTGTGCAACATTGCTATTAGGAGCAGAGAGTGATTGTGTACAAGCTCTGATTGACAAAGTACAACAAAATGTTTTATTCTAATGATGTTTTCTTTTTTTGTACTTTGGTGTTCTTTTCCCCTAACATCAAAATTGTTAGTCAGCGTTATCCTCTAGTGTCTCCTTTGTTCCACTTACCCTTAATCAAGAATGTTCCTGGCCATGCTATTCACCTTCTCCTACCATGCAGGACATTGCTGAGAATGGGTGTTCTGTGACACCAGACGAGTCCCTACCAAGAACAGCACCTTCACCACTGGTTGAGAAGAAGGACCCTAAATTAAGAGAAGACCGAAGGCCAATCACAGTACATTTTGGTCAGGTATGTCTTAGTGTTAGGTGTCTTTATATTGTGTCACTCAGGGAAAACAGTTCAGAGAAAAGTCACAATAATGAATATGACTAGTGTTTAACTCTTCTTTGTAACTGAATTGCCTTGTTACAGGTTTGTTTCTGATGTATCTGTTTAAATGGGGTTCTAAAACCTGAATTTTCAGGGGTTTACTGATTCTTTTTGTTCATATGATGATTTTGAGGAAAATAAATTCTAAATGAATGGGGGAAGGAAGCATAATTATTATAGCAATTTTGTAAACTATTTTGCTGTTCTTATAGCATGCAAAGTGCAATAGCCCTCAGGACTGAGGAAATACGATTTAAAATGTTCCCTGTTATCTAGCCAGATCATTAGTGTCAATATAGAACATCCAACTATTAAAACATTTTAACATTCTCTGAAAATTAAATGCTATGAACTAAGATGGAAAAATCAATTAATAGCTTATTCTCTGTATTTCAGTATTGACAACTGAGCTATGCACATTAGTTACTCTTATAGGATTTCTTTTGATAAGTCTGCAAAAGAGTGAGTTTGGTCATGTGGCTTTTTTAAGAGCTAGTTATTTAGAAAACCTTGTAGTTGCTGTGATTTTCATGGAAAACGTACAGTATTTATTATCAGTTTGCCAGTGTTCTCCTGTAAAGTGCAGCCTGACTCAAAAAATAACATTATTTGTGTTCACAGTTCTCTCTTCTTTCTCCGGATCTATTTTTTGCAGTATAATGATCAGAAAACAGGAGTGAATATCTGATTTCTTCAAAGGAAACATAGTGTAACTTGAAAACAAATGTGAAATATTGGGAATTTTAAGATGTAAAGTAAACCAGCTCTTTAGCTAAGTGTCTGTTAATAAAGTTGGTATAGCTGCATTGACTGTTCAGGTATTGGACAGGGCTACACGAGATAGAGTCGTTGTTCAGAGCAATGTTGTCTGAATCATTTTAGAATTAGCTTTTTTTCTTGCAGAACTTTCACCACTGAAATTTAAGTTCTTGGAGACTTTTTTTTTTTAATTTATTTAAACCGATTCTCTTCCAACTAAGTGTTTGCAGGAGTGATTTATTTTTCACTTACTGTCAGTGCCAATACACTTTAGAAGAATTGGGGCTACTGGAGAAATGTAGCCATCTAGCAGGAAAACCTTCCGTTTCTTTTAAAGCAGTCAGAAATCCAGATAATATTATAATCTACATTGTGTTTTTTTTCTTTAGGTTTTTATGCAGTATGGGTGGTTCAGATGTTTTGGTGGATGAATGAAATACATAATGGAGTGGAAAGTGCAGGTTTAAATTCATGAGCTTTTTTTAGCGGTCACTTTCAAATTTTTTAATGATCACTTTCTCTGTGTCAAAAGAAACACACATCAGCTTTCCTGAGCCACTGGCTATGGTGAAGGGCTCACTTGCTAAACGCTTATTACTGTCATTACATTACAAATGTTGGTTTCCAAAAAATGATCTAACTTAGCAACTGTAGGGCTCTCCCACTTACAGCCTTTGTCCTTTCACAGGGCTGCTTTTTTTTTCCTGCTAGCCCAACTCCAAAAAGAAAATGAAATATACTTTCATTCAAAAGGAAAAGATGTTCAGGTTTATGAAATATAAATTAAGGCTTTGAGGAGAAAAAAAGCAGCAACATTTACTCTTTAAATGGGAGATAGCTTCTAACTAGTGATTAAAGGGAGAGATTTTAGTGTCACTTTTAACTCTGTCTAGAATACAGTAGGTGGGAACAATTAAAAAGCCACAAGAACTCTGAAATAAGGGCTGTTTGTGCATTCACAGCTCTTATAAACTGAAGAGGATGAAAGAGGCTTTTTTCTCATTGTCACTTGCTTTCTACGTCTGGTAGTATTATGCCAGTGTATATGGCAAAGGCAGACTTTTTTAAAATGCATGCATGCGGATTAGGGTCAAGCCCTGTGTATCAGTAATGCAGTAAGCCTCGTCCATAGCACTGCAGTGAGAGAGCCTACCAACAGCAGCGAGATGCTTTAATTGAGACATGCTGTCAAAGTGACAAACACATTTGCATACAGTCTATTTATTTTCGTTGGAAAGGTCTGCAGTCTGCTGTTGGTTGAACATTCTTAATCAGCTCGCTGTAAGTGAGCCGGCAGCTAGCTGTCCTATGCTAGGTGCTTCTCTTCATTACATGACAGATTAGCTAAAGGGGGATGGGCTAGCAAGCCAGCAGCAACCTTTAATTTTAACTCATTATCTCTCACCCTATAGTGAGGTAGTTTCTAGCTTTTCCAAATACAGTTGTGTAGCTGCAGTTGTTAGGCTACAAAAAATACCAGGAAAATCTCTTGCAATGTCTTTGAATGCACAGCACCTCAGCTGATTGCTCTCAGAGATTTAGCAGCAATTACCTGGCTGTGTGAGGTTTTGCAGTGGTGTAGCTCATCATGGCCAGTGGTTATCAGGCATTGTTTGAGAGGATGGATTGTTTATTACTGAATTGTTTTAACAGTGGTTTCTGTATGACTAGGACATTGTGGGAAATCTCTCCTTGAATGGTGCAAAGAAGGATTTAGCCTGACAGCCTATGGCAATGCAATAAAGATTTAAACAAAACTGAAGGGAAAGTGTGACCACAGCTTTTTCTCCAGTTTGACTTTGTGTGCTTTTTGGTTTGCTTGGAGTGTACCTTTAATATTGACCCTCAGATCAGTCAAATATAGGGAACTGTCATCATGGGCTCTGAGGCAATACAACTGTACTCAACAAGTAGCAAGAGCAATACAGGCGACCAAGGTTTAATGTGTAGGGAGAAGAAGGAACAGTTGTCAAGCCAAGAAAAGGATTCAAATGAATAGTAAGTAGTGCTAAATAGTACTCTGTTTTGGGTAAAAGTAAGGTTAATTATAAAAGATGCCATGCCATAGAAAGCATCCTTTGCAAAAGTGTTATCATTGCTTGCTTCCAGCTTTTTGTCTTAAAACCTTCTTGTGGTGTAAAAGGAGCACTGTATTTTCCAAAAATATGCCTGTTTTAAACACGTCTTTCTCCTAATGAAGCTTGTGCTTCTATCCACAAACCTTCCCACCTCTCTGCCCCTAACTAAACCTTCATGCTATTCCTTGGAAGCACTGACTGCCTCTACAAGAGCCTTCTGGCTCATACAGGATCACTGCCAATGCCGAGGCATCCCATGAGTTGTTGAGAAGAGGTGTAGGCACAAGGGGGGCTGAGCCCAGAGTCTGAAAGGACAAAGCTATACCTGGGAACATTCTTTTCCCTTAGCACAACTCATCTAGTACAATTAAAACAACAAATGATAAGCTGCCGGAAACATCATTTGTTTGGAAAGGCTATCATTTCATTAGGCGTATGTTATACTGGCACTTCTGTTCAGCACTTTAATTGTTTCTATTATAATTAGAATGTCTTTTGTCAGCTTAGGTGTGTTTATGTTTCTGTGTCTTGCTTTATTTACCAGAAAATGGAATATTTTATTCCATTTATGTACCAAAATGGAAAGCTTAATAAAATACAAGACTCTTCCAAGTATGTCTTTACCTAAGAGTTGAAATCATATTCCATTCTTGAACAATTAGGGGGCTAATGTAAACAACTGTGAAATAAATGAAAGATATATACTACAGCAGCTTATCTGACACTGAAAAGACTTGTCCAAATTCTCTTAGCTGATTCTTACTGCTGTTCAACTTTACAGGACATAACATGGAAATTGCCATCTTATTTGCTGGTTTGATGATTTGCTGTAAATGAACATACTTGTTTTTCCCATTCATGATCTGCACTTAGACGTGCAGAACAAACAGCTCTGCTTTGTAGGGCAGGTTTCTTCTTCAAGAAGATTAAATGGCATTAAGAGGTCAGGGGAAAGATGGGGAGAAAAACAGGCAGCTACATTCCAGAAATGCAAAACGGGATCACTGAGGCCAGAGGCAGCAGGGAGGGATTATCTCCAGGGTAAAAGAGATGAAGCAAGGAAGGGAGGAAGGCTCCTTTGCCAGACCCTGTGACTCCCTTCACACCCAGGTGCATTGGAACAATAGCAGATTCCCCTGGATCACAGCAGGCATTGTGCGGCACTGAGGTAGAAACCAAAGGGGAAAGGGGAAAACAAGTTCATTTTCTAGTATTCCTGCAACTGTATGCTCTGGTTGCAAAGCCAGCCTCCTGTTCTTGCCACTCTGAACTGTTCTGACAGTAGAGATCCTTCATTAAGAAAATGAGCTTCCATTCCACTCATCCCCACTGATGAGCAGTATGGTCTCCCTGTTCCTTTCTGCTGAGCCATGTGGAGTTCCCTCCCGGTCTCCATTTGATTCTTTATGGATTTAGCAAAAGTATAAGCCTAGTTCTTTAAAATTATTTTGTCTTCAGAAAGCATATTTTCTGCCCTCATTGCTTCTCACTCCTTTCTTTTCCTTTCAGAAAGAAATTCACTGTTGCTTAGTAAAAGTCACCTTGCAAGAAAGGCAAATGTATTGGCCCGAAAACACTTGTGCATCTAGTGCCTATTTGAGACTACTCAGATATCCCATCAGATTCTTAGGGGACTGTGTTCTTAGTCAAGGGAATAAAACCAATGTCAATAATTCATTTGATTGGAATTCTGCTTTGTGGTGTGCAGGATTTGTGGAAATGGCAATCCGTGGGACAGGAGTTAGCTAACTAAAAAGGCTTGCACTCTTGTCATGCGTGTAAATATTTGACAAGTGAGACCTGACGCTCTCTTTAGTAAGATGCACACTACCTGCAGAGCAGCCCCAAAGGTTACTGCCTCTCATGCACTCACTTGCAGTGTTTTCTAATGAGCAACAGGACAACTGTTGTCTTCTGCAGTGACTACAGCAATGTAGTATGCATGTAGCTCATGCTATGTAGAAATTCATGCTTTGCCATAAGATTATGTAGCTTCAATCCTGCATCCAACAGATGTATTCATCCACAAAAAAAGCCCATCCTGGGCTGTTGCTTTTAGTGTTTTCCAACTGTCTTGGCATT